AGGAAAACAAACACAAACACACCCCCCACAGACAGATACACACACACACAGAGACACAGACACAGACACACACACACACACCACAGACACAGACAGACAGACAGACAGACACACACACACACACACATCACACAGACATACATAGACAGACAGACAGATACACTCACATACACAGAAACACAGACACAGACACACAGGCCCACATACACACACACACAACACACACCACAGACATAGACAGACAGACACACACACACACACATATCACACAGACATACATAGACAGACAGACAGATACACTCACATACACAGAAACACAGACACATACACAGACATAGACAGACAGGCAGACAGACAGACATACACACACACACACACACAGCACACAGACATACATAGACAGACAGACCTCAACACACGCACATACACAGAAACACAGACACAGACATACAGGAACACATACAAAAACACACCACACACAGACAGATACACACACATACACAGAAACACAGACACAGACATACAGGAACACATAAACAAACACACCACACACAGACAGATACACACACACACACAGACACAGACACACCACACAGACACAGACAGACAGACACACACACACACACATACATCACACAGACATACATAGACAGACAGACCTAGACACACGCACATACACAGAAACACAGACACAGACACACAGGCACATATACACACACACACACACACCACACAGATACACACACACAGAGACATAGACATACACACACACACACAACACACACCACAGACATAGACAGACAGACACACACACACACATCACACAGACATACATAGACAGCAGACAGACACACGCACATACACAGAAACACAGACAGACAGACAGACACACACACACATCACACAGACATACATAGACAGACAGACATGCACACGCACACACACAGAAACACAGACACAGACATACAGGCACACATACATACACATACCACACACATACACACACACACACACACACACACACACAGAGATGTCAGAACAAAGAAGTAGAAATATTCAGGTCAAACATGAGAAATACAGGTCTGGAGACATAGTTCAGTCTGCAGAGTGTACCAGCATGCACACAGCTTTGGGCTGACTTTCCAGTACTGCTTAATCCAGGTGTGTGTGTGTGTGTGAGTGTGTGTGTGTGTGTGAGAGAGAGAGAGAGAGAGAGAGACAGACAGACAGACAGACAGACAGACAGACACATCTTTAACCTCAGCATAAATGTGTGTGTGTATAGGAACACACACCCTTAACCCCAGCATTTGGGAGGTGGAGGCAGGAGAATGTAAATTCAAGGCCACCTCTAACTCCACGATGTTAAAGGCAATGAGTGCAAACCTGAATTACATTCTACTTAGAGATTTCTTTAATACAGTACCACTGAGAACATATTTAAGGATATAAAGCTACAATTGGAGCTATAGCTTTTTAGTCATTTATTGTTTTGTATTACAAGCTCTAATTTGAACACACCTGGAAATATATTGTGGTTTCTTTGGCTAAAAACAGTGACAAAGAAGTGTGTGTGTGTGTGTGTGTGTGTGTGTGTGTGTGTGTGTGTTATTAAGGTGGAATGAATGAAAGCCTACTACACTATGTCTGTCTGTTTCATATTTTAAAACATGCTCTAACCCTAGAAGAAAACTAAGTAGCTTAAGATAACAACAAACAAACCCACAGTAACCAGAAGTCAGAAAGGTGGAGAAGCAAAGGTTTGCAGGTCATGATTGCAGGGTTCCACAGCCCCCTATCCAGAGAAGCACTGCCCTAGGAATTTCTGTTCTTCTTCCCTGAGATGCTTTAGTGGCCAGTCCTGGACCTCAGACTTGTGCTTCCTCAGTATATCCAGAGCTTTAAGTGACAGAATATTCAGAGTTGCAACAAACCATTCAAAATACTCAAGTGTTCACACAACCTTTTGAAGCACTTAAAATTTCATACTCCAAAATATTATGCTATTCTACTCTTTCCGGGGCATATAACATTCTTTGTTTATGTGATACTGGATAAATAATTCAATAAGCAATCCGTCATATGTGAAATTTATAGGATCAGATACAGGCAGTAGTCCAGTAACCACACCATACATAGGGAAGATACAGGGAGAGAAAGAAATTCAAATTGGGGTTTGCTCCTGGTGAGGCATCCTAAGAAGAAATCTCTTTGTCATTACTAATGTGACATTGATGCACCCACTAGCAACGGCTTGGGGACAGCGTGCCCAGGTGTCCAAGTCACAGCTCTAGTGACCAAAGCAACTCACAAAAACACATTTAATTGAGGGCTTGCTGGCTGTTACAGAGGGTTAACCCATTATCAGCAAGGTAGGGAGCATGATGGTAGGCAGGCAGACAGACAGACAGACAGACAGGCAGTCAGGGTACTGGAGAAGTAGCTGAGAGCTACATCCTGATCTGCAGGCAGAACTGAAGCAGGCATGGGCTTCTGAAACCTTAAAGCCCACCCCGGGCAACACACTTCCTCCTAATCTTCCCAAATAGTTCAACAACTGGGATTAAGCATGTAAACATCTGAGCCGGTGAGGGGGGGACTTCATCATTCAAACCACTACCTCAAGCACCCCAGCTATTGTTCCAGCCCCCCAAACACATTACAGAGGAGTCCCAGGTTGAGCTTCACCCGAAGTGGTTCAGACCCCCTTAGTCTGGAAATAACTACGCAATGATCCACTCCCTCCGCCACCGCCGTCATGTTAGCTTGGTCCAACAAACTTCACATGTCCTCACGGTGCTCAGTATTTTGGGTGACATGCTGTTGTCTCTGGGAATCTGGGCAACGGTCTGTCACAGGCCAACGTTTTCTCATTACAAGAGGACCTTTGCATTTTTGGCGGAACTTGGTTCCTAGCATCTGGCACAGTCATTGTTTCCCCTTTCAGCCAGGGACTCTCCATGCACCTTCCTTTTGAATACTGGGTCACAAATGTGTAGAGGAAATTACATACTCAGTGTCCATGTCCAGCCTCAGAAGAGGGAGCACCCGGGCCAGGCCCAGGCGTGTTAGAAACGAGGAAGTTAGGCACCAGCGATGCACCTCGAGGCTGATGGTGGTACGGTGAGATCTAACACAAATTATTTCTCGATGCCAATTATTTTAACCCATAAAAACTGAAACGTCCCACCACTCAAAAGGAACAGTTATTAAATTCATGGCAGTAACATTCAAAAGAGGAAGTGAGCGCACACAGGGAGGCTGCTTCATTAACGGTTCACAAATAAAGCTTTCAGGAGAACAACATCTCCACAATTCTGGGGACCCAGGATGACCCTGAAATGGAGTCCTGGATCCCAGGGTGACAACACAGACGTTAAATGTCTTGTACGACAGGGGCAAGAGAATGGTTTAACTGAACCGCACGGAAATTCAGAAGAGTCGGTAAAATTGTACAAAAGAAATATAAAACATAACCCTAGAGAAAAGATATGTAGTGGGCACAAAAGAAGGCAATTAATGTATGGGGTGATTTTTTTTTTTTTTTTAAACAAAAGACGAAAGCAGCTTTCATGCAAACAAATTAACAGGAGAAAGCGACAGAAAAGTTTTGGGAAGGACGGACCAACACAGGGACACACCAGCACCACTCTTCACGAGATAAGGAACATGCATCCACGTGGGACGAGGGGAGACACTGCTGGCTGACACACGCTGGAGCCATCTGGGAAGGCTTAACTTGGACTGAGAATGCTGTCATACAAGTGGCCTGGAGGCAAGCGCGTGGAGGCATTTTTTTTGGTTAGTGACTGATGTGGGAGGGCTCAGCCCACTGTGACGTGTTACCACTTCTGGGCTGCTGGTTCAGAGTTATAAAAGAGAGCAAACTGAGCACGATGCATGTGATGGCAAAGGTACAGCGATGTCCGTAATGTATATATAATCAGGAGGTGGGCTGGTCCATGAGAACAGAACCCCCTGCTGTAAAGACCTGTTACCTTAGGAAGTAAGGCTCCTGCAGTCTAGAGAGGCAAGACACGGGCACCAAACTGCTCCAAGTCACTACATAATGTGTCAAATAAAGGCTTCCAAGCTGTGTCTTGTCCTGAGTGGCTCCATCTTGAGTGAAGACACAAAGGCAAAATGACTCTGCAGCTCACCTGTACACTAACCATGAAGCAAAGACTGGTACCTGTTCATATAAGTAAAAAAGGCTATCAACTATACATTTATTTTTGTTAGTTAAATTGTTTATTTTACATCCCGACTGGTCCCCCTATCTCCCCTCTGCCCACACCCCCAACCCACTCCTCCTCTGTTTCTGTTCAGAAAGAGTCAGGCCTCTCATAAGTATCAATAAAACATAGAATATCAAGTTTCAATAGGATTAGACACCTACCCTTGTGTTAAGGTTGGACAAGACAACCCAGTATGAAGAATAGGTTCCCCAAAGCCAGCCAAAGCATTAGGGACAGCCAGGAGTTCTGCAAGTAGACCAAGCTGCACAACTGCCACACATGTACCGATGGCCTACCTTGGTCTCATGCAGGCTCTCTGGTTGTCCGTTCAGACTCTGTGAGCTCCCATGAGCCCAGGTTATCAACTATAAATTTAAAGAGGTGGATTATAAATTAGACTGCCTTATGAACATATTAATAGCATGTCAGAAAAACCAGGCCTGAGAACTAATCTAGAAGCCCAGATAAACCAGCACAATACAGCCGCACCAACCCACTGAAAGGACACTGTGATGGAAATGACACTAGGACCACTCAGGATGTGTCAGGGGACCACCAAAGACTCTCCGACGGTCCCCTGGGTTTCTGTTCTCTATGGCCCCCACTCCATGACACGGGCCACTCAAATCATCTTTCTCCCTTGTGCATAGTCCTGCTCCTTAGCAAACACAAGCCATGCCTCCATGGCTGGGCTCTCCTGCTTCTCTAGCAGCTGCACTACTGGGTTCACTGAGGGGGAAACAGAGGGAAACAAGGAGAGCCAAAGGAGCCTCTCATGGAGTCTGCTTGCTGTCTCTACTCAGATCAAAGCCACGCATGATGGCAGAACAAAATTTACTATGAAAGCTGCTTCTGTAGAGACACAATTCCTTTGATATACAGATACTCCAAATAAAATACCCAAAAAGTGGTGAACAATGCTTAAGACCCAAATATTGCCAACCTCCAAATAGGGCCTTAGACTTGCCCAGGTTATTTTCTGGGAATTTCACAAGACTATCGACTTTTATTCACATAAAAAAAAAAAAAAAGCACTAACTATTTAAGCAATCCTCATGCCTAAGGGTTCCACCTCTTAAGCTGTAAAGTCATCTACGGCATGGCAGGAACTAGCCCAAGATCTTCTTTAACATCTTCAGCAACCCTCTGAGACCACGTTCAGAATGCACTGAGGTCTTATAATTGTTTACTGTCCAGCAATTACTGGAGACCGTAAAGAATTCTGCATCCACGCATGGATCCATCTCGCCCCCCTTCTGAGAACCTGCTTCTATTAATCTCCATGCTCAAGTCTATGTGAAAACCTCTTCCTAACAAATCCCAAGTCTGCTTCGTACTGGCTTATCCAGAAATCCCTTTTTGTGATAAAGCATCCCAGCTTTATCAGGGCAGAGGTCTCTGAGAAGAATTCTTCCTCTGCCACGAGAATCAGCATGAACTGTGATTCATGCCTGCACCCCACTGCCAAATCTTCATGGCCTTTTTAATATGTACCAGCTTTTTGTCACAGGCTGCAAATAAGGCCCCTCTGAACTCTGGTCTTTAACCCTCCTGTAACCATTATGCAATCTCTATAAATACAGATACAATTATAATAGCAATTCATATTATAAAAGAGCCTGTAATTGCTAATGGCAGCTATCAAGGAATATCAGGCTGCCTGGCAGATGCTGCTAATAAGACTAGCTTATCTTGTAAATTTTGGCTTTGGAATGTGTCCATCCACGTTTCTGACAAACCACCCTCCCGACATAGGGAGAGGGGGCTGCATTTGTAGAGGTTCACTAACAAGCAGGGAGTTCTCTGGAAGCTTCCAGTTTACCCTGCTGGGTCCTACAGCACGTTATCCAGGCCATCTCCACATGGTAAGTTTGCAAGTGAACACATTTCACTAGCGTTTCTGCAGTTCTTCATAGACTAGGACGTAGGCTTAGATCAGAACATGGCTCAGAGGAGGCTATACTGACAATAAAATCCCTCTCCTATGTAAGATACACAACACACATACAGTTTGCATACAAAACTGACGGCTAAGACCCCTACTCGACAAAGATAGATGCACTCCAGAAAGGGAGTCCTCCAGACTTAGGAATCAAGGGGAAAAGCCTGCATTCTGCTTTACCCACGTCCCCCTTCCCTTGCTGGCTAGTTTCCTATTGCTGCCGCCAGGCAACTATCTACCCCAGGCCACAGAATGAACAGTAAGTAGAGCTGACTGTGACTATGAAGCTGAGGGAAGAATTCAAGAGGAGACTCAAGTCAGTAAGCTAACAGTGAAGCTTTCGGAGAGCTGCTGAGCAAGCCCCACAGTTCCAGGAGCCCAAGTGTCTTATATAAAAGCCACGTGAGTGTTGAAGGCCAAGAGGGGAGGGTGTACCTAACCTTTTCCTCATGGCGAAAAACAATCAGCTCTTCCACTATCATGGCTCAGGACAGAGACAACCAAGACCAAGTCAACGGTGGCCAGGTAGGCATGACAGGAAAGAGCAACAAATACAGTGATCGCCAGGTCTGTGACAATGGCAATGTGGCAGTTCATACACCCTAAGAGACAGCATGAGGTGGGAGAGCCGCAGGACTCCATTTTAGGGTTCCACATACTTCATCCTCTTGCCTCCTAGCTGCACAAGACCTGGGAAGATGCTAGAATAGATAGGGATGGGACAGTTAAACTGGGATTCCATGATGCAGCTTTTGTGTTTTGGACACACTTTCTGGGATAAGATTTGTCGGTGGACCAGCAGCAGCTTTGCAATTCATGTTCCTGTAAGTAAACTCAACGGGAACCCTTGTTTTACTGTGCTCATGGCGCCCCCTTTTGGTTAATCTCACTTTTGTTCACATCTGCCAACGAAAAGAAATGCAACAGAGTATGCAGGTTTTGATAGGAGAAGCTTTCAGGGTCGAAGTGAGAGAAGCATGCGCTCTTCTGTCACAGGACCCCTGATCTGAGCTTAGTCAGCGCTGTGCCAGACATCTGAACAAGCCTAGTTGCTACCACTTTCTCAGCTACCGGAGTCTACGGGGTCACTCACCTCACTATCAACTTTGTGAGGTTGTCTTTACTGCAGTGCGATGCAGCCTCACACGCGGGCCAGGCATGCCTTCAGCTCTAAATTTTCCCGTGTCTTACTCAATAATAGGCTTCCAGAAGACTGAGTGTGATCTTCATATACCCAGGCCCTATCCTCAAGGTGGTCACACTACTGACCCCATCCAGGTCTACCGATTCTTCCTGGAAGCAGTTTGTCCATGCAATGAAGGATGCAAGTTAACACCTTCCATGGGGCTATATGCTGAGCCTCTGGGCTCTGGCAGAAAGAGGAACTAAGCACATGTCCATGTGGCTCACACTGATAGACAAATTTTCCATGGGCTACAACTCTTAAAAAGCAGCGATTGCTGTTGACTCCAGGAAGAAGTTTACAGTGCATCCGGCCAGTGGCCACCAGGCAGTCTGGATTCTAGTCACTTGAATCAGTGACTCAATACACAGCCAACAGGTGACAGGCCAGCTTTAGGCGTAAGAGTTCCACAGCCCACAGAACCAACTGATCAGGGTTCATAGAGGCTCACAGAGACTGAAAGGGACAGTCAGGGAGCTTATCTGGACCTGACCTAGGGCCTCTGCTGCATATATGTTTTGGTGGTGTAGCTTGGTGTTCTTGTGGGACTCTTAGCAATGGGAGCAGGCGCTGTCTCTGACTCTTTTGATGTGGCCCTTGCACCCAAAATGTCAGTCGATGTGATTAAATGAACAAGACCTGCACAAGATTGGACCTGTCGATAAATACCCTGTGGGGAAGGGCTCATGAGGCCTCGCCCCTCCCTGAGGGATTTGTGGCAGGTTACAGTTGATAAGGGGTGTTGAGATATTTTCTCTGCTAATGTTGGCACTAATTAGATGCCCGGCTCCGGAAACGAAAACAAAACAACAAACCTGTCAGTAAATAATCCTAATGAAGCTTACTGGTTCACCAAGATGGATTCAAATCGAACTACCAGGGAAGGAGTGGATTAGTGGGAGGGGAACGGGAGAGAGGTAATGGAGGATATATTTAAAATACACAAACAAGTATGAAAATGTCACAATGACATCCATTACTATGTACCACTATAAAAACTTTTTAGAACAGTAACAAAGTGCCATTTATTACCTGGAGAAAAACAACGACAGAGGATGTCTGAAATACACACAACCGAAATACGTCAGTTGATAATAGTTTGGGAATGACACACACATTTGGGATTTAGGACTTCATTACCAGACCTAGGCCCTGTAGGCTGGGGAAAAGGGTTTTGGAGCTGAGCCCCTACTTCCTGTACATTCAGAAAGCTCAGGGGAAAACTTTGGGAGGAGGAACCTGGAGCCCAGCTGCTCTCGTGGGAGACTGCATTTTCTGATCCTCCTTCAGACCGTCTCAGCAGTCTGCGAAGCAGGCTGCACACACGGAGAGGCCGCCGCATGGGAAGGGATGGAAGTAAAAGCCGTGTCAGCCCAGCTCCGCCCTTCCGGGGCACCGGAGGACACTAGGTCCAGCATCCGCCCTAGGCCGAGGGGACCTGGCCCGGAGCCCCTGGGAGCGCAGCATCCCTCCTACCTAACCCATCGCTCACCGTCGCCATGGTCCACGCGCATCTCCAGCACCCGCAGCTCGCCCAGAATCAGCGATCTCATCAGGACCCCTGGGGCTTCCAGAGGCTGGGGACCACCCTAAGGCATTTTAAACACAAAGGCCGGAGACAGGTCATAGGCTCGCGAGAGCGGCAGGGCCCGCCCCTTCGCTCGCCCCGTGAGCTTGATTGACAGTTTCTCAACCAGCACCAATTCGACTACAGCGACCGCCCACAGGCTTTGATTGACATCAGGCAGCACCAATGGCATCGGACAGCACCCTGGGCTGAATGAGGTCCGAATGAATGACGAGTTACTCGCCGGACCAGTTTCAGAGGAGGATTTTCTTGAGGTCTAAGTTCCCCCGGGGACTGGCGGTTTTTTTCCTTCTGTGTGACGATGCCATCAGTTTGTACATGCGTGCGCACACGATCCACACGGTGCAGCGAGCATAACGGCAGTTATTTTTCCATCCCCTAGAACTTGTTTGGATGGAGGCGGCCTCCTGGGTTTTGAGATGGGAAGCCATTCCCAAGTCAGACAAACGACAGGGGGCAGGGCCCATTTAAAATGTTCTAGTGCTTTTTTTCACTTTAAGAAACTAAAAGAACTACATATTGCTGAACCCTGCTGCTTATCCAACTGCTAAACAGGCATTAGCTTGCTCAGAGGCCAGTGAGGACGACGGGAAATAATCAGCTTAGGAGGAAACCCCCTCTTTCCCGAGTAGCATCAGTTTTAAGAAAGGGAAGTTACCACGTGGGTGTTGCAAATATCCGGGGAGAGCAGGATCGCACCTAACATGATGCTAGCAGAAAAGGGAGTGTTTTGTGTTTCGCTTGCTTGAAGACGCTACATTTTATCTCCTATAGTACAGTCTCCTAATGGAAAATTTATAAAGGCCCTTCAAGATTAATGACACCCGCCAATATATTGGTAATTATCTATATATTATATAGTATATACTAGTGGTTTATTTATATATTGCCAATATATTTAGTAATTGGTGATAAATTTGTAGATCTAAAACCTCCTGTGGCTAGGAGGACGGTTTAGAACATAGAAAGGGCTCATTCCCTTTGGTCCTAACATTCTCTCATAATTTTAATGGAAATATTAAATGCAGTAGACTGTTGCATTGTTTCTTAAGTTCATTGTTTCTTTAGCTCCTTGTATGAAGGAGCTAAAACAAAAGAAAAAAAACCCATTGAAACAATAATCAAGTAAGTGCCCACAGCATGTCAACATAACACTATTTTAGCTATCAGAACAGACTATCTGCTTGGTGATGAAGATAGTCAATGAATGCTGTTATCAGTTCTTTAAAAATTAAAACGAATCTAAAACCAAACCAGATGAGAATAAAGGAAAAAGAGGAGGGAACTGCAAGAAACAACAGATAAGAGACACTAAGGCCGTGTCTTCTGTAGCTTGTAGCTGGCCCTTCTGGTCTAGTCAGCACAGGGCTAAAAAGTTCTCCTCACCCTGTTCGTTCTATAAGTAAGTCCAATAAACTCATTGTTTCCCAAAACAGACTTTAGTGGAATAGTAGAATAGTCAGGCATTGTTTATGTTGACCCAGGGGAAGAGCTCCTGGAAATGTCTTTAGTGCCTGTAGAAAGGAATTATTTACCTTCTTTTATACCCATGTGCTGGGTAGAGTTTCATGCCTCACCCCCATCTTGTTTTTTGGCAATGGAGTTTCATCACAGCAATAGTAACCCTAACTAAGATAGCCATGAATCTTTATTTGTATATTTATTTAATTTAGTTTTCCAAAAAGTTTTATGTTTTTAACTTTCTCCTTTGCCAAAAAACAAAAAACAAAAAACAAAACAAACAAACAAAAAGATTCTTTTCTAGTGCATTGTATCTCGATTGCTAAACCCCTGAACACCTGGGATGACTCCTCTTCCACGTGACATTTTCTGGCACTTCTCTACCCCCCAGGCAGCCTTGAGTCCCAAACCCTCCAATCTTCTGCCAGGTGCTAATAGCCAATGATCCCAACAGCTGTTTTCTGTCAACTCTATCCATTCCCTAGAAAAGGGACCCCCAAAGCCATTAGGAGCTGCTCCATGAAACCCCAGCTTATGTCGAGGCAGTCCTCTGGCCAGTCCCATGTGCTCTTCTCATACAGCTTGCTTTAATCAGACAGTTGTGGAAATGATTTTCCTGAGGTCTAACACCTCTACTTTTCCCAGTTCTTCCTCTCCCCCCATCTGGAACTGAATTCACTCCTTTACCGTCTCTTCTCAGAAAGGCGCAGGTTTCTAAGAGATAACCAGACATAGCAAAACAAAATAAGATAAAACATAACTCATCGTATTGGAATCGGACAAGGCAAACCAACAGAAGAAATAGAGCCCCAAGACAAGGTACAAGAATCAGAGACGTCCATACTCTCTGAAGTCCCATAAAAATACCAAGCTGAAAGCTGAAAAGGAACAGAATCGAACATGGGATATGGTTATTAAATGGTATATTTATTAAGAAGGAATACTCACATGAGATTCGATAAGCAGATTGGTACTCCAGGAAGCCCAGTCTCAGATGCACTCCAAGAGTCAACCTGAACCCGGAAAAGAGGGTGAGAGCCTTCTCCTCAATCCCTTTATGCCATCCCTTCTGCGTACCTGTGACCACGCCCAAACAGGCGTGGTCATCACTACCGGTATGTGGGAATTCTCCCTACAGAAAGCTATAATAAATCATGCCGAGAAACTACCGCAGACCTGTATAGGTCCCCCGCTTGCTGCTGCAGTCTCTATGAGTTCATAAGAGCTTAGCTCAGTTGATTCAGAGGGCTTTGTTTTTCCTCCACCCGCTCTGGCTCCTACACTCTTTCCTCTTCCTCAGGGTTCCCTGAGCTTGGAGGGGAGAGATTTGATGGAGACCTCCTGTTTAGAGCGGTGTGTTCCAAGATCTCTCTCCATGTGTGATGTCTGACTGTGGGGTCTCTGTATTTGTTCCCATTGTCTTCAGGAGGGAGCTTCTTTGATGGTAGCTAAATAAGGCACTGATCTATGAATATAGCAGAATATTCTTAAGAGCAATTTTATTGTTAATTTTTTAGGCCAATAATGTTTGATTTTACCCTAGGTCTCTGGGCTATCTAGTCTCTGGTTCTTGGTCACCCAAGCAGTGTTAGGTGTGGGTTGCATCTTACAGAGGGGACCTTAAGTCAAGCTTTGTGCCACCATTGAGCTAGCCATATTTTGCAGGCAGCATAGGGGTGAAGTTTCTATGTAGACTCTAGCTCAATGTCTCCAAGTTCAATGAGTTTCATGGGTTTTGTCTTCAGCAATGGGGCCTTGCTGTCTTTGGAGAGCGATCTGTTGTCTTGGCCTAGGTTGTTTGGGGATTTCCATGAGACCTTTTTGCCAGTAACTCAATTGGATGTAACACAGTCCAGGTACTGGAAGGTTTGTTTGTTAACAAGAGATGACCAACTGGGATTCAGACTCTTTCATTATTTGGAGACTTCATCAGGATTGTGTTAATTTATTTTAGGAAGTTTACACCGCACCCCCCAGATGTCCTCCAATTTTAGCTGTCTGTCTTCTCCACATTCCCCCCCCTCAAACCGGTCTCCCCTCCCACTTCCCATTTGATTCCCTATTCGCTTACTCCCTCTCCCCATCTACTGGTGAAATATATTCTGTTTGCCCCTTCCAGGGAGATCCATGTATCCCTCCTAGTCCCTTCCTCTATACCAAACCTCTCTAAGTCTGCGGATTGTAGCTTGGTTATCATTTATTTAACAGCCAGTAGCAAATATAAGTGAATACATACTGTATTTATCTATCAGGGTCTGGGATATCTCACTCAGAAATGATTTTTTGTTTTTTGTAGTTCCATCCGTTTGCCTACACATTTCATGATGCCATGTTTTTGAACAGCAGAGTAATACTCCATGTGTAAAGATACCATATTAATTTTTAAATCCCATCTCTTGTTGAGGGGCATCTAGGTTGTTTCCATCTTCTGGGTATTATGAACAGAGCAGCAATGAACATGGCTGAGCAAGTGTTCTTTGTAGTAAGATGAAGCAACCTTTAGGTGAGTGCCCAAGAGTTACTGATGTGGCTGGATCTTGAAAAAGAAAGAAATCCATCTTTCCCAGGAACCACCATACTGATGATTTTTTCATAGTGGCTGTACAAGTTTGCACTCCCACTAGCAATGGAGGAATGTTCCCCTTGCTCAACAGCCTCAGCGGCATGAGAGTCACTTATGTTTTTGGCCATAGCCATTCTGATAGGTGTGATATGGAATCTCAGAGTCCTTTTTCTGTGGATTTCCCTGATGACTAAGCATCTCTCAGCTATTTGATTTTCCTATATTGAGAATTCTCTGTTTAGATTTGTACCCCATTTTAAAAATTGGATTATTTGGGTTTTTGATACCACTTTCTTGAGCTCTTTATATATTTTGGATATTAAACCTCTATCAGATGTGGAGTTGATAAAAATATTTTCCCATTGGGTAGGCGGCCCCTTTGTCCAAATGATGGTGCCCTTTGCCATGCAGAAGTGTTTCAGTTTCAGGGGGTCACATTTATTAATTGTTGATCTTAGTGTCTGTGCTACTGGTGTTTGGTTCAGAAAGTCTCTCATATGTCAATGAATCATCAAGGCTATTACACACACTTTCTCTTTTATCAGGGTTAGTACATCTGGTTTTATATGGAGGTCGTTGAGGAAGCTGAGAACAGACCTGTGTTGGAATTTTGATGGGGATTGCATTGTTGGTTGTATCAGTTAAAGGTCTAATACCAGTTCTCAAGAGGTTAGTAGTACCCTCTACAGCTACCATTAGCAAGTTGCACAGTTCCCATGTGTGTGTTGTGCAGTATTCGATAACAAAGCGTTGTACAAGCCACACAGC